AGTATGAAGTTTGCTAATGCTCACAATTAAAATGGCTGTAACAGTTCCAAATTTAAATGTATTATCGTTTTGTAAAAAGTTAAATATAGTGCATATTATGGAGATCCCGTCATTTCTTTTTTTCACCATGTTTCTTTTTTATTATTTATGTACAGCCTTGCTAAATCTTGCTAAGCATTCAAAAGAGAGAATGTTTGCATCTGTTATCTATATTTTAAAATCGTCTTTTGAGTATGTTCCACTATGTATGTTTTAACAGTCTATAGCCAAGACTGTTTGGATAATAAAAAGCAAAAAAAAAAATCACTCCCAAGTGCCCACAAACCTGCATCTCTACCTTAAATACACTATTTCCTAAATACTGCTTTGTGGTTGTCATCTAATTATCCCCATCCATACATTCCATGGAAGCAACAAAACCTCTAACTTGAGAAAAGTATTAACAAAAAAAAACCGGAAAAGAACTAAAGTATGTATTTAAAGATCCTGACGCACTCAAATTTTTGTCTGACCTCCACAATGGATATGTTGTTGTCTGGCAACGCTTCTAACAATGGATATGTTGTTGTCTGGCAACGCTTCTAACAATGGATATGTTGTTGTCTGGCAACGCTTCTAACAATGGATATGTTGTTGTCTGGCAACGCTTCTAACAATGGATATGTTGTTGTCTGGCAACGCTTCTAACAATGGATATGTTGTTGTCTGGCAACGCTTCTAACAATGGATATGTTGTTGTCTGGCAACGCTTCTAACAATGGATATGTTGTTGTCTGGCAACGCTTCTAACAATGGATATGTTGTTGTCTGGCAACGCTTCTAACAATGGATATGTTGTTGTCTGGCAACGCTTCTAACAATATGTTTGTAACTTGCATTCCTATGAGTGCCTTATACCACACATTACTGGAAATTGAATAATTCTATTTATAGACAAACAACTATTAAAACTTCATACAATACCTATACAAATACAAAGCTATATTTATAATCATTAACATGAATTTCGTTTAATGTCAAAGAGGGGCAATTACAATTACTTTACACTGATAATGTATAGGTATCCACCAAAAAGGCTAATAATAGTTCTATAGAGTGTTTCAGTTATATACATCTACCTGAATCTGATATTACATAATCTGTCCATATAATTCTGATTATATTTGTGCTTTGAATTCGACTTTAACCGGCATTCCACCAGACGATAAAAACGATTTTGTAGTCCATACCAATATACTTCAAAGAGACGTTGTTGTTTTTTCATCTCCACTTAAAACAAAGGCTTTTGTAGAGAACGACAAGATTTGACATTCAAACGATTTTAAGGCAGATATAATGAGCTTGAGGTTACATATTATAACACTGTTAAACAGATAATTCCAGATGGCATCAATGCCACTTCCCTGGTATGGACCTCTTACCGAAACCATTATGATGCTAATACTATATGGCGGATACCTCATGTAAAGCAAGATGTGCTTACTGATCGCTGAAACATCTGACACCAGTCTATATATCTTTCTCTTATTGATTTCACTATGTTGTGTGGTATAAATCTTACGTGTTTTGTTTTGTTCTTGTAGTTTGTTTTGTTGATTGTTATCTGTATGGTGGATTGTTTGCCGTTGTTCTTCTGTCAACAAAATGTGCTTGTAGTATGATCTATGTGAGTTCACCCTGTTCTATTTGTTTAATTTAGAAATCAAGTAATCATGCAAAGGCCTATCATTAATTTATATATCATTCACTAAAAATGTGTAGTTGTTTTGCCCCTTGATCTGTCTGATCCGGGGCAACGTACCAAGTTCTATTCTAACAATATGTACACCGAATAATTTAACCATAGTATCAATCTCGCATCAACAACCTAAATTCAGGCAAATGAGTGTGTGTGGAGGGGGGGGGGGTGTATGCATGCTTGTATCGCCAAAAACATGTGCTCTAATCAAAAGAAATTCTACAGTATTGTCAATAAACTGACAATAATTTTACCATATCACAGATAATACGAATGCAGTTAGAACCGATGATGAGATTGCCATTGCCAATCTAGAACTTAATAACAAGCATGATAACGGCAGTAATACGAACACAACTTATTAAAATGAAATGAGGATACTTTGGCTGCATCACATGACATAAATGCTCAGTGGTTTTTGATCAGGTTCCCCATGTGTACGTCAATTCAAGGCATGTATCCTGTTGTACATAATTGGTATATATCTGTGATGTTTTTCCTCTGTATGACTGATGATGATATCATTGTCACCATAGTATATTTCGATATAACACGTTACATCCGAAACAGATATATCCATGACAGCACCAAACTTTTATTGGCAGCATTTTCTTTGCAACTTGATAACGAACTTTTTTGACATGATTTATTATACGTGTGCTTTTGGTAACTTTTCATGTTACATTTAATTTTTAAATAATATTATGTTGTGAACATATAATATTATTTGACAATTATGGTATTCACATCTGTTCTTGTTTCCATTAATGTCGGTGTTGGAGAAAACGTCTGTGAACGGATATTACCCTGGAAGGTGTAACCACTACATGAATGTGTTTGTTGAACAACATTTTCCTTGTACTGTGTACTATAACGTTTCATTCAATTACAAACTATAATATAGTTACCATGATTAGAAGTGCAGTACACTTCTGCCGAAATAGCGTTTCAGTTAATCTGTTGATTTCATTAGCACTCAGTATCAAACACTAGTAATATCTCAGACATAACACATTTGTGCGTTTTAGTCAGCGGCAACACCTATTTAATATTAATGATGTAATATTAATTGTTAACAGAAACAATATGTAATGTGGGAATTGTTGGATTGATTGCATCTGAATGTGGAATCTCGTCTGACAAGACCTATTACGAATAAATTAAATTTCGCGGAGTAATCTAACACCTTTTTATTTCACTATTTCACCCAATTCACCCAAGTTTATATTTATAGACTGTCAAAATAATTTCTCTTTTTATATATAAGAATTCAGTTACACTGGTATGGTCAACACTTTTGTCTGTGAATTATAACTATATGTAACCATGTCGCTTTGGATGATGAACTTGAATGCTGCCTAAGTAAACCGTGTATTTAACTTCTGTAGCATATTTTACAGAATTTTTATAGAAGCTAGAGTTTAAGATACTTCTATAGAATTTCAATACACATTCTTACGATAACTTCGACATTAAATCACAACAGAGGCGGCCTAAGCTATGTACAGACACTATTTATTAACATAAACTGCTTTTCAAACATGTATGCAAGTGAAGTGACAAATATAATGTTACAAGTCTACGTACTTGTTTTGAGGGCAGATATTATAACATCGTGACAATGTATGGATCAAAAATAACAATATGAAAGTTCACACTTTTCCACTGAAATGTAAAGCTTTCAAATCTCGAATGCAAATACTGTGAATTCTAAAACATTTGTTCATAATTTCAAAGGTGAGTCTTTAAATATACAATGTATATTTGTTTATACTTATATGACATAAACATGTATGTTAATTACTAATTGTTAATAACCAATTAATCAATCATTCTTTCATTTGGGCTTTGAAAACAGGTTCTTGATTGTTCATTGGAAGAATGTCACAATACTTACGTCTAGAAGATATGAACATACAATGCTTCTATGAGTAAGTGTAAATTTAAATAGTATTGTACACTGTAGGATTCAAAATATTCCATAAATCGATGCTCTTTTTTATGGTTACCGAGTTACTTAAAGCGGAAATAGCTGTAACTTATTTTTCTCTCCGATTTAATGAAACATTTCCTGTGTCATTAGTGTCAATATGTAGTACTATCGTCGAAATGTAGACACTGAAAGCATAGAATACACGCTATATGACGACTGTATATAATAACACACCTGCAAGTGACAAAAGATGACTGCGGGGTTGCATCAGGTCTTCAGAAATCTAATTTTGTCAATCGAACTTCAGAGATTACATTGCCACTTAATAATAGTGTGCGCATGCGTAATAATTTTGTATGACACTTTTCACTCAACCGATTTGAACGAAAGACGATGACTCAATCCGTGGGGATCATGTCACATTTTGTATTACATCAGCCTCGTATAGAGCCACTGCCTCTTTAAAAGTAACATGTAAAATACAGATCATTCAAAAATAAACGCAGATGCAGATGTAAATGACTGCAGGTTGTAAGGAATAAACATTTACATAATTTATTGATAAAATCTAATCTAATGAACGCTTGAGACAACCTCAAACGTTGGTCAGAACAACTGAGCATCGATATCAATTACTCAACTTCTAACAAAGGCACCAGATTTTATTATTTGGAGTAGTTATAATAAAGAATTTAAAGGACGGCATTCAGGGCAAATATTATTCAGAAATACATATACACATAGCGACCGTTACAGTGATCAATATTTCTTAATGTGAGTGTATTGGTTCACAATAAATACTCTGTACAAAACAAAATAAATACAAAACATACGTTACGGCCACAAAACGTACCCTAATATTCATGATTAAACACGTTATTGTTATAGTTATAATATGTAGTAGTTATAATGTAGGCTTGTCCAACAGGTTAGTATTTGTATTTTATATTGTCTTGCTTAATATTGGAATCCTTCACTAAAATTTGTTGATAGTTGAAGGTATTGGCATATGTATCAAACGACGGGTCGCTAGGGTTAAAATACATCTTTGTGACGGATTCGAGCAGCTGGTCTACCTTGTCAGGAAACGATTCGATGGTTTCTTCCAGCGACTTGCATTTAGTGTTCACTTTATTGTTGGGTACTAAAGGCGATTGTGGCTTTGGTTTTGGCATACCGACACCTGTCCACAGCTTAAAGCGGTTCAACATGAAATCCACCATTTCGAATTCATTTGATTGCTTAGCTAGATCACGCATTACATCGCCAAAGCTTTCATTGAGGATGGTTAGGAACATGTTGATTAGGATGAAGGTTATGGTAAGGACAAAGAAGAAGAAGAGAACTGGCCCAAGCACACTGCTAGCTTCGACCATAGATCTCCATTTGAACTTACCCAACATGGTGCCGAAAAGGGTTTCCAACGTGTAGACGAAGTCGGCAAAGTCAAAGACAGTTCTTGTGAAAATCAAGTAGAACGCTTCAGCAAAGGCCAAGAAGACAATCGCAAACATGAAAAAGTATGAAATGATGTCCTTGGACGCTGCACGGAGGGTAGATGACAACAACGACATTCGTTTATTGAAGCGCAGCAATTTGAGGAACTTTAAGTTGGCGAGGAACACTACCACTCCAAGCATGTAACCCAGAAGTTCATTCCAGTAAGCCACGTATTGTAATTTAATGTAGGCAGTACCACCGGATTCGTTAAACTTGGTGATTATTTGGTTTGTGACAATGAAACGATAGAAGTAAATTACGATTGCAGCTATGGAGAAAGACACTATTGTCAATTCAATCCAGTTCCAGAATCCCTTGAAGTATTTTTTCTTCTGCTGTCTTATTGCATTAAGCTCTTTGAAGAGAAAATACAAGACAAAAGCAAAGAAAGTTCCTTCACAGATTACCTGAAACAGTGCAAATCCTGTGTAATAATTGAGAAGATTTAAGCAATCTATACGATATAATGGATAACCTCCGCCCGTTGGTAGGATCTCCATGAGTAAAACAACCATAGCAAACAGATTTGCCTGTGCATTGTAAGTTGAAAACTCAATGAAGACCGCCCGGGTGTACTTATCGATCCAATTTTCAGCTTCCAACCTATACAGCAGATCATGCATATCCGTTTTGCTACCAGTTAATCGAGCAATATATCCACCTCCCCAGTAAAAGGCATGCCGCCCAAGATATGGATACCCATCAAGTTCACTGGCACTGGTATATATATATTCTGGCACGGTAGTATTCGGATCTGGTTCAGCCCAGCTGACACGAAAGTTCCTTTTCTCTTCATCTGTAAAACCATATTCCTCATTGCATTCTGAAACTGTTTGGGCAACTTCGGCAGGAACATTACATCGGCCTGTGAAACAATAACAATGGAATTTAGAGACAGAGCTGAATTTACAATTTTACAATATTGGCTAGGCATACAAAAAACAAATCATTTTCAGTGTATTTCATTAATTCCAGATGTTCCATCAGCATTTTATAATGCACAAAACATCAACGTGAATACCCATGTCTGTTCCTGTGTCATGTTGATGCATGTTATTATTGATTACACATACCTGGTTTGATCCTTAGTTGCCTGATGACAGGATATCCCAAAATATGAGACACTCGATCTGATAAAAAGTGTTCTTGGTCTAAAGCAGGGTCGCCATTGTACCATTCATCAGCAAATAACCCAGGAACAAGAACATCGTGAGCATATGACCAGAACTTGTGTTTAGTTGACACCTGTACAGAAGAATACAGTGTTTGCTAAAAAAACATATGTTTATAACAACAAAAATGTATTGCTAAAACGGCTGACAAACACGTTCGTGTTCATATTAATATATAACACACCTGAACAAACTAACAAACCATCTAATCCCTGCCAAATATTCTGTACCAAATGTACATAGAATGATGCCCACAAGAATGATGACGAGGTTGATAATGATGATTAGTATAAAATACTGACAAATGGGTTGCCTCAACATTATACATGTGATACACCTACTTACATGGAGAAAGTTGCCTTTAATATCTTCCTTAACGAACATTGTTATCAGGTTGTTCATATACGGAAAGGCTTTGCTGTCCCTGTTGCCGTAGCTGATTACCAAGAGAATCCATAAGAACAACACATAAAATATGATTTCTCGGATTATTGAGTACATTTTTATCTCTTTAATTCTATTTTCCCTGGCCGCCTCAAGTATGGCGGGATCGGGTGGCTTGTATGCCAACTTTCGTTCGCGTTTATAGTTCGACGGTTTGTTGTGTAGCCATTCTTCATCATCTGCTAATTCGTATTCCTCTTCATCGTCTCCAGCATCATCCTCTTCATCTGCATTAGGAGTTTTAAGTATCAGTGCAACAAAGATACCGATTAAGATAACCTGTATGTAAATAACAACATCATATATCACATATCATATATGTTGAATAGAGATATATTCACAATTTATCAAAAACCGAAGCTATACTTACATTCGCTATTTATACATTAAAATGCAATATGGACTAACATTGTAGAAAAAATCGAAATGCATGATTTGTCATTAACTAAAAATGCTGTGTTTGCAGGACACACAATATTATCAGTTCGACTAATACGCATGTGCAGTGATGTGATTGCACATACTAAAACGACCAGTACACATGCGTATCGCATAATTTGTTTCATTAAATGAAAACACAGCTCATTTATCAACATGGAGTATAAAAACAAATATTACTAATTACGTGTTCTCGTCTGTATTGCATCAGGTAGTAATTCACATATTTTGTATAGGTTATGCTTACCTTGATTGGCTGAGTTAAAAAGATGGCAGTTAAGAAGGATATACAGAGTGAAGTGAACCACTGCCTAGTTTCTCGGTCTCCCATTTGCACGGCGTAGAATAACACAAAAGTAACAGCCACAGCTATTGATAAGAAAATCAAAAACCAGGCAAGGTAGATACACCAATGCGGAAAACTGAAAGGTTTCTTCTTCTTTTTCTTCTTTTTCTCGTTATTTTGCCTCTTTCTATTATCCTCAGATTGCACCATTGCGTCTATACTCATGAATCTATCGGTGTCGATCTTCTCGGCGTCATCCAATAAGCACATTTTATCATTGTTTGGTTTCACTTCAATATGAGATGGAGAAACCTAATATAAATAATAAATGCAAATTCAAAATAATATAGTAATAATATAAACATTACTATTGATCATATACAAATTAAAATAAATATCTATAAATGCTTACCATGCTACTACGATCAATATCATTCCGTTTCTGTGCTAATTGATCCTTAGCTATCTCAATCCTTGATTTGCGTTTTGTCTTGGGCCTTGCTTTCCGAAATATTTGAATGACCAATAAGCTGATTGGAAATACTATTAGATTGGCCTGCACGCCTATACTGATCTGAAAGTTGAGGACAAAAATACATTAAATCAATAACACCAATTGGCATATCACTGTAATATTTACATCACATGAAAACCTTGAACACATTTCAGATTACTAATTGTCCTGTATTTAATACATACATTTCTAGCTGGTGGGAATTACGCATTCCATATCCGGAATCAATTGTCGTGACATGATTCATAGTTTTATATAACAATTAATTCTCATCATTATGATCTAGTCAATTTTAAAGCCGATTATCAAATACCAGTGTATATCTTTTTAACCAGAGAACAGATTGTTTTTCTCTTCCATAATCAAAAATCGTCATTATTTGCCAATCGTACTCTATTACAGCAACATTTGTTTTGTTATTCTAGATAATCATAGTATTTTATACACATGTCGTAATATATATGTCAGAATTGTATTTTGAGCATTGTGTTAAGCTGTGTTGTGTTGAGACAATAGGAATTTCACTTTACTGGCTATGATTGTTGATTCCTATTGGTTAGGATGTCTATAATGAATTGCGAGCATATTCATTAGTTAATTCTCACCTGTATTGTATGTGATATATGTAGCATGTCACAAAATATAATCAAAACTAGAAATATAAAACTAAACATATATTCTTACTTGTGCTGGTGACAAACTAAATGGTCCAATATCTAGTGACTCTCCCGTCTGTGGCACAATGCCATACCACATAATATTCACCAGCATCTCGAGCCACAGCGCCATCGCACAACACGATATCCGTTGGCATCTTGTAAATCGACTTCGTGGTGGACGGGCAAAGATAGAGAACCATATATGACCGTCGTCGAGGTTCTTTCTTGTTGTGCTCGAGAACACGTGATCAAAGCTTTGCATCTGCTCTTTGCCTGCAACAGCTATGGTTCTATCAATCTGTGGTATGCGAATAGAAAAATTACCATGACAGGCTGAAACGAGTTTTTGTTAAAAAGTCTGAGTCTCATTTTATTTCAGTCATGTACCTCTCACGGTGTGTGATTACATACCTGGCCGTCATCTTCAACGACAGAGAACCACTGATTAGCAATAAAATAGAACCTTTCCCCGGTTTGAACGTCACGTATAGCAATATAATTGAGATACCAACTCTGCATTTCCCCTTTACCGGAATTATCGTGCCATATACGCATGTAGTTTAATGTACCAAGAGGTCTGCGATTGAAGTGAGAACAGTTTGATTAGACCAAAAACATGTATACATCATTTCAGTCACGTGTTAAAAGACGGCTCTTCAGTACACCAGACTTATGGAATAGATTGTGTTTAGGTGACGTTAATCAGTGGATTTTGGGAATAATACAACATAACCAGTTCTGCATTAATTATACATGTTTTTTATGGAGCTAAGTAATCGACACTGATATCTGATTGATGTCACTGGTGTAAAGCATTGTATGCAATCCACACTAATCAGTAGAAACATTTCGACGTGTTACATTAGATATTTACCCTGGCACTGCCATCAAAAATGAATCTACAGCTCCGCGTCTCAGGATTTTACGCTGTTCATCGCTCAACATCCGTACATCAGTCTCATCGTTGTCACCTGATAGTATGAATCCCACCTAATTAAATAATAATCAGAGTACAGACAGAATGAACAAACAAAACATACAAATGCCGAAGACAATAGTGTAGTATTAGCAATGTGTAGTGACATGTAATATAGTTTTAGTGTTGAAACAGTCTTATAAATTAAATCTGTATCGCCCTAGATGAATTTTGATTTCTTTTCATTCTAATGTCAATATTTTGTAATGCCCAAACATCAGAATAAACACAATAAAGAATGGAGGGTGTTCACAGATATTTTGATACTATCATCATGGTATCAGTTATTCAATTACTATATTTATACATTTATGCTGTGTACAATACGTGCAACCTAAATTGTTTAACTTCGTCTTTGTTCAAGTTTAAATATATTATAAACAGCAGCAGCAATCAATTGAGACAATTCTACGTATACAAACGTTATCGCTAACAAAAAACTACTCAAATGTACCTCGCAACGCCGAAATACGGGAATTTGCACCACTATACGGTGTATCTGTAATTACTGTATGCAGATGCAGTATCACATTTGAAAATAGTTTTGATGCCTTGATTTCTGTGTCTAAGCATGGCCTTTAAAATGGAGTTGGTATAATACAATAGAAATACATACACTCAGAGAGTTATAATTATATGTAGAAACAAAAGAAAAACTAGGTCATCGATGTTCGAAAACTTACAAATGTGTAATTTATGAGTATAGTCGTGACTTTTTTGTGGAGTACAGGTTAGCGCTATATGGGGCAAAGAGTCATCCATCGAAATATTGTCATTCATGAATTTCAAAACTAAAATAATCGTCCACAGCTAAATATGAATAAGCGCTACATTATTTCGTAGGTTTATGATCATAACCATAGCATAGAGCACGTTAAATTGTTTAATATTATGACGGTTCTCAGCCGGGTCGCAATTTCAAAATACCCACTATGAATGAATTTTTCAAATTTTCCAGAGAGACAAGTTCTAGAGAGACCCCTAAAGCCAAACCAAGAAGGACATAACATACATGTAACAATTTTAATCTTGCCAGCTCTATGTACTTTTACATTGACTTGGTCAGATTAGGGATAAAAATGACGGATCATATACCTTTGAGTCTGTTCCACCACCTTTCCTGCGTCCAGTGAACACCACCACCTCATATAGATACTTGTCGTTAGGTTCATTGTCTAGTAATGGCGCCACGCCAATCTAAAACCAATACATTATGATATTATACAAGGTCGCATTGTATTGCTTTGTCAAAGCGAAGACCATATGGAACTACACGAGTTTAATAAATTCGATATCACACGAACTTGAAATGAAGTTCTATTTATTATCATTTATTCATTTCGCAGGTATTTGTCGTCATAAATACATCTAACTCTGTGCTCATTTGCACACAGAAACGCCATCTTTGAACACAGTCTTCTGATAACAAATTGCCACCGCTAAAAATGTGTCGCCAAGTTGTCAAAAGGGTTATGTTTTTGCATAATTTCAAATTATATCGAACAATCAGGTCATTAAAAACCCATTTGGTATGGGAGTGAGACAAAAACTATTCAATGGGCCATATCACATATACAGTATACAATAGTAGAAGCAGACAAAATAGCAACGCAAAATGACAATGAAATATATTCATATCAAATAATTAATTCGACTTACCAGTAATAGGTCTGACCTGTCCTTTCGTCTTGCCCATATAAGGCCAATGAAATAAAGTATGAATACGCATATAATTACCACGTATATTGTAGGATTTTTATAGAAGTCCATGTTGGCAAAAACATAATCAAAGTCAATATCGTTGGGTGGAATTACCCACGCACTGCTGAAACTGGTTAAATGATTACACAAGCAGACGGTTTCTTTCAAATTAGTTGTAGAATCAACCTACGAATAAATAAATAAATAAATAAATAAATACATAAATACATAAATACATAAATAAATAAATAAATAAATAAATAAATAAATAAATAAATAAATAAATAAATAAATAAATAAATAAATAAATAAATAAATAAATAAATAAATAAATAAATAAATCATATAATATTACACATACAATTTATAATATTATAGATAGCGATTTAATAAATAATAATGATAACAAATATTTAAACATAATATATAATGTCGGTTTAATTTGCCTATTAAAGTTGAGATGTTTCTTACAGTTAAAGTGGAAGGGTCGTCACCTGCGCACGCGCGGGAATTGAGTCCCAACCGACGATAACAACACACGCTAAAAACGCAAGGGCTCATGGGTTGGTAAACAATGACACGCTATGGCCATCTGACGCATGCGCGGGTGATGACTCCCCCGCTTTAAATTTAAAAATAAGTCGCAGTCTGTCGTGTAAGCAATCGAACATTTGTAATCAATTTGTGAATAGGACGATAAGCTGATATGTGTATGTTTATTCAAGCTATGTGATGTTGAGTCAAATAAACGCCGATCCAAGACAATTAAGTTATGGATGTTAATATCCCTAATTCTAAAATATCACAAGTACCACTTATATTTTCTCAAATGTTTTGTTAAAGCAAAGATTGGCATTTTCCCTCCTATATAAAAATGAGGAAGTCCGAACAAGTAACCTTGTGTGTATGTCGATCTTTTGTAACTGTAACTTAAAAACAATCGATTATTTGATGTGAATGATAGCAACTTTCTTAAATAAGTCAATTAGCGTACTAGATATTTCACGTACCCGACATCCAAGAGAAGACCACAAATGTTCATCAGTCAAGTAAAGACATCCAGAAAAAGAGACCAATAATGAATAGTTTCCAGAGAAACCTGTGAATGGAATACCGACGTTTCCACCTGATATGAATGCTGTATATGATCTGCTTTCAGGGTCCAATTCACTCAATCCAAGATAATACTGCCCAACGTTGGAACCAACATATTCATTATCGATAAAATATTGATAAACATTTTCATCAAACTCTGTACGAACACCTGGAATATGAAAATAATTTTAATTGATGGAAATATAAAAATATAATGATTGACTCTTTGTCGAGTAAATTGCACCATATATGATATTATATTCGATTTCTTGCTAAATGCACTACATATAAATGCCGACGTAATCAATATATTGATTATTTGATGTTTACATGGTGAAATAGGGTGGGATTATAATAATTATTAGTATTAATTACGAAGCACAATCAGCTGGCACACACGTGATAATAAAATAACTACAATATTTACTATATGGGGCCGCCATCTTGAATGCAGCATAACACTAAATAAGAGACAAGTTGTGAAACGCGTTTTTCAGATTCCTCCAAATCTAGACAAAAATACCAATCGCATTTATTTTATTCTCACGTGTTCGCCAGCTGACTGTGTTACGAAGATACCTCAAAGTATGCATGAATACAGTACAATGGGACTAACGACGCGCGCATCGCAGGTCGATGCGACGGCGTACTGTCTAAGTGCATACTTTGAGGTATCTTCGTAATAGCCTTATTATTATACATCTTTCCCTTCCAAGGATACATCATGGGATGCCGAAATCCAAAAAAGTACGATCAAACCCTGATGGTAGCCATGTTTATTAATACTTACCGTTAGAACGCAGATCGGTAGGTATGAAAAATTTACGATCGTATAGTTCAGCTGTGGGTCTTTCATTGTATCGAAGATACACCGCATATCGTGTTGTCAAGTCATCCGGCACGATACTGATTGATATCGACACTTCCGAATCGATATCAGAGACGTTGAATTGATGAAATACCATTGACGATCCTTCTTCTGGTTCTGGGAAGTGATATTGCGGCTCAGTCAATGTAGTCGTCGGTCTAGGAACGGTGATCTCAATGTGCTCGGCAGTGTTAAGCAAGGGGATTTCGTCGCCACTAATGTTTCGATAATTGAGCACCATTACACCACTGTGTTCAGACACTCTGTCGCTATTATCTCCACCAAAGACATACGGGTTATTTGGCATCGTATACAGCTGTAAAAACATATATAGTAGAGAAACTGTCAAAAAAGCATAGCGTATTCAATAGGTTTCTAAAGGTCGAAAAAGATACTATGGTGGTTCATGGTAATTTATCATTTCATGAGATTGGGTCTAGGGCGACGCTGATATAATTCAATCATGACAATAATGTATCTGAAAGGCATTATTTCTGAGGTCATTTTGATTAATAGCAACTCGAAAATAACCACCCAAACGTTTGCAATACCTACTTCTAAATCCACCGTCTGGTCACTGTTGCAATCCTGACCTGGGCTGTTGTTAATGGCACACCACGGTGGAACTTTGAAAGCACCCTTACCAATGCTGAATGTTTTATTGGCAAGATCATTAGGAACATTTCGTTGAAGCTGAAGACTCATCGTCGGAGTCTCTATCGTTGTTGCCGTCTCTCCCGGTAGTTTGTTGCGCAGAAGTGAAGTAGTCATTAGCGTCATGGTGTGTTCTACTTCAATCACCGTATCCCTTGCCTGGAGATAAAACACCACAGCTATCAGAATTTGATGAATTGAAACGCAGTTCTCAGCAAATCATTGCTACAACAGTAGTGTTTAGTTTATGTGCTGTTTATTGGCGACAATTACAAACCAATATTGAAATGTTGATTGCATCCTAACGCAATTGACATAGTTGAATTTTGAAAATGCCATTTCCCGAAACACGAACAGTTGTTATTAAGACAAGATAGACTGATCAATAAAAAAATATATAATGAATTCATATTTATGAGACGAGCTTGCGGGCATACAAAGTATTATTTTCATATCATTTTGTAGAAAATTTCCCTTTACATGAATAAAAATGCCACGAGACCTCTATACTAAAGACTTCATATCACTAGATAATATCGTGCGTCTAGTTTTTAATGCAGCGATACGAGAATTTCGCACTGGATAAAAACACTTACTCGAATGATACAATGACACTAGCTTGTTATAATATCGACTGAAAGTTTATTTCGGAAAAAACTTGACGGAAGGGTAATATTTCTGGCGATTATCAATAAGCATCGATGGCAGTTACTACAAATTACGATTTTTCTTTATTTTCGCCTGATATCACTTATTACATATACCGTGCAATAATAGCATATCATGTTAAGTCACTATAATAACATTGTTTGTTTACCTTATTCTGTTTCACTGAGTCTTCTGTTGTACTTCCTTCTGTGAATAAATTATACAAGTATAGTCACGCACGGATGTATTTATAACTGTTTTGACATTTGAATAATATACTGATGTTTTTTTTCAGGCAATAAACTTCGTTGCAATTCAGAATAAATCGTCGAAAATCACAGCAAAGTAACGTAGATGATATTGAACATGTGTTTCATCTCGTTCGCGCCATGTACCGCGTTCTATGATTACGTCAGTTCTATTTTTAGTACCACTAATAATGGTGACAAACGCTATTATATAACATATACAGGTTATTTACAAGTATGTCAGACCCGAGTGAACCAAAGTCAGTGCAAATTCATAATGATTTTTGCAATGCAAACCTGGCACGTGGAATAACTATAAACTTATTTAATTACTAGTTCTATAAATTCCATTTACTCACTCAGTAGAGCTGGATATCAATGTGTTCATATATTGCATTACTTACGGGTATAGGAGTCAACATCTTGCAAAGTACTCTGAAATGATTCTGTTCCAATCATTACACCTTCCTCAAACGAATCCATGACATATAACGGAGAATGCATACTGTTATACACACCCTGTAATGCAAACCACATATTGTTATTTCAAGACATCAAATCTTTACACTTTCAGGAATTAAATGTCTACCGTACATATTACCATGTTAATGTAATCGCGAGTAACACATACACACCTGGAAGATATTGCCTATAGTACCAATAATACCTCCTGCTGCGATTTCCATTGATTCGTGATCGGAATCAGAGGACAGTTCATCAAATACGTTAGCCATTTTGACCACAATGTTAGTAGCTGTCCGCTGGAATAATAATAACCTTATTAATATACATATTTTCCTCCCATAGATACATCTTGGGAATGCCGAAATACAAAAAAGTTTAGAAAAGATGGAGCGAAGTGCTTTGCATGGGGTCCGGTCAAACCCTGGGGGCTGCCATGTTTGATTTTATTGTTAGAGGACGCTTACGCGTGCAATCGATGAAAATACCCAGTGCAATATCGACACGCTGTAACTTATGGCGTTACGGTGGCAGATGTATAATATAGGAGAATATCAGTCATAATGATGGAATACTTTTATTGCAATTACTACATCAGGGTTTGACTAAGTGTATAATAATGTGCCTATGTCAGTAATATACAATTTACGCCGCTATAGATGAAATGCACAATACTATTTATATATTCCAGTGATTTCAACGTGAAGGTTTATTGTTAAGAGATTTATTTGTAAGTATAATGTTTTATCTTTTGTACTTACAAGTGCATTATGGGATAGTTCGTCGGTTCTGTCAGTGATGAAAGTAGTGGTGCTAGATACTAACTGTAAATCTTGCATAGAGTCCAAACTACTTTGTGACGTGGTCTCTAGCAGTGCACTTCGTATCTGTTAAAAATACGGTTATATTCTCACTTTAACATACAATATGTTGAAATACCTGTATAATCTACAAGTTATGAGTCACAGACATTATCAATGTTGTAGTTAATGTAATACATATTCACTACCTATCCATGTTTGGATGATTATATTATGATGGTTACGCCAGGTAACCACGGAAATTGAACACTAGTAACACTACCTTATGGCTCGTTGCTATTGTTTTCTTCACAACATTTAGATAGTAAAGTATATTTTCTTAGTTCGAAATAGTGCCCGTTTACGAGATTCTTTGTAGACTTGCATACAGTCACTTGTTTTTTTGGTTTTCTTTTTTGGTGTTTTTTTTCAATAAAATAAAATAAGTGAGTGTATAAATGGCGAAATCTGGGTTACCGCGAAATAAAAAAAGCAAAAAAAACCAAAAAACAGAGACTGTGTGCAAGTCGCGGTTCTTTGTTTTCAACAATACGTATCTAATAGGAAACTGTTTTCAGACCTAGGTTGTTCTCAAATGGCTCAAATAAAGAGCACAACATACTTCCCACTATTTAAAAATAGTACATGGAGTTGGTTTGTGGTTGAAATCGACATGTGGTTTACAATGAATCAGGTGTTATTTTTACAGCAAAAAACCCGTGAGGGAGGTGCAAAAAAAAAAAACCTAAATCTCTCCAAATTCGTTTTAGTACGGCAACTCTGGCGTACTGGTACTTCGACTCCAAACAGGCCGTTAATTACCGTTGGCGTTCTAGTAGCCGTACTAATACATTATAACGGTCCATTCATACTTGACAACGCCAGGTAATCACACAACTCATGACAATTGTCGTTTGAACCACAGTCAGCTGGCGCACACGTGATAATAAAATAAATACGATATTTACTATATGGGGGCCGCCATCTTGAATGACGCATACAACTAA